TATATAGTCAATAGATGCGTGTGTGCTGTAGCTGCAGGTGCGGACTTGTTTTTGCTGCCAGTGCTTTTGAGTACATGTACAGCCTTCATTCTGACTACGACAATTATCTTTTTAGTAGAATTTTATTTTTAATTTTTTAAAATTTAACTTTTGGATCAACAGGGGGGGGGCATGGCCCCCTTTGGCCCCCCTAACTACGCCACTGGGGCCGGATTCATCAACGTTGCGTAAATTTTATTGCGTACACAGAGTTTCTACGAAGTAGGGCCTATACGTACGCAAAGCTCGTAGGTGCGATTCATCAACGCAGCGTAGCACCTGCGTACGCAATTGTTGATGAATTCCAGTGTAAATCCACTACACCATCGTAACTGCTGCATGGCTGTTGAGGAGAGTGCCTAGCATAAACCCCCCATAAACCAATCACACTGTGCGACACATACCATAAGCTGTGGACACACTACGCGATTTTTCATGCGATCGAGCCGGCGGCTCAGTCAGGCGACTCTGTGAATTTTCAGCACGCTGATTGGCTGATGAATTGTACAATCGGCCGCCTCAATCGCAGACCCGGGCACACTAGGCGATTGCAGCCGGCCGGCTCAAATAATTATCAAACATGTTTGAATCGGGCGACTCGGCCGGCCGACTCGAAAATCGACTGCGACTCACTGGACACACTACGCGATTTTTCATGAGATCGAGCCGGCCGGCTCGGTCGCATCAAAAATCGCCTAGTGTGTCCACCCCTTATATAGGAATCAAACTGACGCCTCTCTTGTTTATTAAATGGTAGCGCATTTTGCTTGAATCTGATTGGCCCATATGGCATTTGGAGGTCCGTACCTCATGCCGAGTTGACCGCGCGTGTCAAACGAGTACACCTCGCGTGAAAAAAAGTGGGTGTGTGAGCGCTGGCCAATCGAGCTACCGCTTCTATAGCAAAGATTATCAGCCAATCAGATAGCTATATTATAAAACAATATAAATATAATAAATATAAATATAAATATAATAAAATAAATAATTTATAAGATAAATATTTATTTGTTGTTATTTATTAAGTTAAATTGTTTATTTATGTATTTTTGTTTATTTATTAAATGTATAATTAAATTATTGACTAACACATTCAATTTGTTTTTGATTTCTTTATTAACCATATAATAAAACGGTTATCGACCTGTGATGAGGTTGACACGTAACCTTGGTGAACCAATCCTTGACCAGGTCTGTATAGTCACGTATCAACCTCATCACAGGTCGATAATTACCTCCGCCAGAGGCATGGCAGGGGTTATGTTTTCACCGGCGAGTTTTTGAGTGTTGGTTTGTGTGTTTGTGTGTTACCATGCACGTTTCAGTTCACTTCCGCTAGGTGCGCTGGCTGTAGACTTACAAACACGCAACCACAGGCTAAGGGGCAACCACAGTCCTCCCCCACCTGCACGCTCGCACTAATACGGATCCAATTAATTATTTAATTAATTAATTTTTCCACTTAATTAATTAATTAATAAATAAAAAATTTCACATTGAGAGAATTCAGCTGCCTTGGCGGAGGTCTGTGCTCTCCGAGTGCTCTAGTTGTATAATGTAAATCATATGGCTCTAGCTCTAGCTGTCTACATGAGTGCTGGGGGATGTGATAGTTGCCTCATTTTCGTTTGTATGATTGCGTTCAACACTCGATGAAAGCAGGGACACGTACACGTGCGTGCGTGCGTGTGTACGTACACGTGCGTGCGTGCGTGTGTACGTACACGTGCGTTTGCACGTACACGTGCGTGCGTGCATGTGCACGTGTGCGTTCGCGTGTGTCTGTGTGCACGTACACGTGCGTGTGTGTGCACGTACACGTGCGTGTGTGTGCACGTACACGTGCGTGTGTGTGCACGTACACGTGCGTGTGTGTGCACGTACGCGTGCGTGCGTGCGTGCGTGTGTACGTACACGTGCGTGCGTGCGTGTACATGTACGTGTACGTACGTGCATGTATGTGCACGTGTGCGTGCGTGTGTGTGCACGTGCACGTGCGTGCGTGTGCACGTACACGTGCTTGCGTGCGTTTGCACGTACACGTGCGTGCGTGCATGTGTACGTACACGGGCGTGCGTGCGTGCGTGTGCACGTACACGTGCGTGCGTGCCTGTGTACGTACACGGGCGTGCGTGCGTGCGTGTGCACGTACACGTGTGTGTGTACGTACACGTGCGTGCGTGTGTGCGTGTGCACGTACACGTGCGTGCGTGCATGTGCACGTACACGTGCGTGCGTGTGCACGTACACGTGTGTGTGTACGTACACGTGCGTGCGTGTGTGCATGTGCACGTACACGTGCGTGCGTGCGTGCATGTGCACGTACACGTGCGTGCGTGCGAGTGCACGTACACGTGCGTGCGTGCGTGCGTGCATAAGCACGTACACGTGCGTGCGTGTGCACGTACACGTGAGTGCGTGCGTGTGCCCGTACGCGTGCGTGCGTGTGTATGTACACGGCGTGCGTGCGTGCGTGCGTGTACACGTACACGTGCGTGTGTGCGTGTGCACGTACAAGTGCGTGCGTGTGCACGTACACGTGCGTGCGTGGGCATGTACACGGCTAACTATACGAACTCGCTCATAACGAAAACAATGCCAAGCTATAACGCAAGAAGTGTCAAAAGAACCCTGTCTGTGTAGTATGGTAATTATTTATTTATTTTTAGTTGAGTACGTAGTAATTTTTTAATGTTTCTCAATATATATATATAGACAAATATAGACAATCCGTCGCACATCCTGGTCGGGCTACCCAAACCCAGGAAATCCTTAGGTTTTGGTTACATTATTGTATCTATTCCTAAAACGGCCTCGCTTGCGTACGCGAAATCGTACGAAAATTTACTAAATAGCTGTGTTGATAAATCGCAACTAAGCAACTTCGATTGCGTTCACAAGATTTACACAAAATATTTTGGCGTACGCAGCTTCAGCTTGATGAATCTGATTACTATTACTATTAGTGTTAGTTACACGTGCTGTTCGCCATGTTTGTTTATTGTGACCTTTTTTGATGGGCTCGAATCTCGATCTCGATGCGCAGGCATCTACTGCGCACGCTGCGCATGTGCATTCGTGCGAGCGGACTTCTAATATGTCGGATCGAAATTCAGCGAAACAACGCCACTTCTCGTAGCGAGTACAGAGAAGGTAACTTGTGCCTAGATTCGAGCTAGTAGTAGTACTATTATATACAACGCGATGTTCACTTCGTAACACACTGCATGCGTTCATATAATACTGAGAGTGGCCCAGTGTACTACTACTATTACTACAGTACTAGTACTACAGCTCATAGGGTCTATGTCCCCCAGGGTACTGCCGGAACTAGCCCGACCAGGCTGTGCGACGGATTGTCTATACCTAACCCTAGCGATACCGTTTCTTGGAGCTATGCCGGAACTAGCTCTATAGCCCAGTTGGACCATTTGCTTAGATTACATCTATGGCAGAATGTGCTATAGCCCTGCGGCAGCGATCTGCGGGCTATAGTACTATAGAGCTAGTACTACTACTACTACTACTACTACTAGTACTAGTACTAGTACTAGTAGTAGTACTATATGTGACCAAAAATTTATCCCCAAAACGTAAAATGATCGGGCTTTTTAACACTTATCTATCAACATGGACATCTCACCTATCTTTTTGAACACTTCTAGATTTAGATTTTAGATTTTAGATTTTAGAATTTATTTACGCTTTCAAGTATATTACATTT